CATTTCATATTATTTTAAAGATGCGTATGGGAGAAATTTTGATTTCTTCTTCCTCTTCACCCTCTCACCAGGACATCTTGTGTGCCTAGTTAGGATAACTTGCTAAAAACGTCCTAGAATGGGGTGGTATGTCTTGTTGACCAGGATTTCAAAGAGCCATTTTGTTCAATGTCTTTACTATGGAACCTAACCTAAGCATTCTGCAGTTTTAAAAGAAAAGATCAAATGTATAAACCTGCAGTAAACATGACTTAAATTTATGTCATAGATAATGAAAGACTGGTATAAGGTTCGTTTCAACAGCAGGCTGTTAGGGAAGGGAATAAAGAGAGTGAGACTCCAGAAGAGAAAGTGGAACATGAACATCTAAGTACTTTTCATTCTGCCTTGGGCTAGTCTGATCCTGGAAAAAGTCCCCACTGCAACATTCTAAACACGGTGAGCAATCAAATAACTCTCACTTGAACTACCGGCTGGCCGATAGTCTAGGTAGTGGTCTATCTAGTTTATCAAGGACCCGCCCAGGTAAATGCCAGGTACCTGCAATATAGGGTGCTTGCCAACCCATTTAAAAGTGATGAAGTAATTGTTAGCCCACTGGGACACACCAGAGGAGAAAGAACCTGCTCCACTTTCTGTTCCTGTGCCATCCCTTGGTCTCAGTGCCTCATCTTTAGACTAAGAATCACTAACCCAGCTTGATGACTTAACAAGAGTGGGCGGTCCATAAGCATTTGGTCAGTATTTATTTACACGGGGCCTCGCCCTAGGAGTTCTGCACTTCCAGCATCCCTCCTACTCCTCTCTTATTCTGTTCCCTAATTTCTGTCCCCACCCCAGATATTCAGGAGCTCTCCATGTCCTTCTCTTCACTATTCACCTTGTATCTACTATCCATTCTGTATACTGGATAATCGCCTAAAGATGCTCCAAAAGCACAATGATCATATTTTCCAAACCTCGACATTGGAGCATGTGCTCTAATCAGTAGAAGTTTATTCAGTAGGTACCAGGAAGTAACATGTGACGTTGAGACTGTCTCTGACAATCCACAATGTATGGCTGCTGAAGCTCAAAGAAGACGAGGAAGATGGTCTTGCGATCCTCCAGGGCCCGCCCTACCTGTGATCCGGTCCAGCCTATCTCTGATCTCCTCTCCTGCCTCTTTCTTCCTCCCTAGGCTGCCCCAGCCACCCTGACCTCCTTTTGGTTCCTTGAGCCAGACAAACTTGGTTCTGTCTCAGGTGCTTCTCCCTGGGACCTTCCTCCTTAGACCTTTGCAAGATTCCTCTCTTCCTATCATCCCCAAAGTTACCTTCTCACAAAGCCTTTTCTTCATAGCCATCACCCCCAGGTGTCCCCTAGGCACTCTTGATTCTATTACTGTTTCATTTTTCCGCTTAGTATTTACTTCTCCACGAACGTCTTATGTTTGCAGTTGTTCTCTACCTCCACCCTACCAATCACGACAAGTAAGCCTCATGAGGCATGTCTCTGCCAGTCTGTCCGCACCTAGAACAGCGCCTGGGACCCAGTAGGAGATGCACGACAACACTCTGTGGAATGAAAGGATGAACACTGCCCCTTTTGCCACACGCTGCTGCTTGCTTATGTATCTTCAGCTCTGTGGACCTGCTCTAGTAAGTCTAAGTCCACCCAAACGTCCGTAAGAAAATGAGAAAATGCACCTCCCACGGGAAAGGGGCACAGACCGGAGGATCCCAAATTTGGCTGGGTGGGAAACGGAAGTCAAAAGTTTGGGATAGAAGGAGGAAATATAACAGGAGACAGAGCTAAGCAAAAAGAAATCTGGTAAAAAAAAAAGTGGGGGTCAGGGGGCTTGGGTGTAATGTCTGAAATACCGGAGTTGGACTGTTAGTCATGGTAACCCAGTTGCAGTTTTTCCACAAACTCCCTGTGTGGCCTTGGGTCTCCCATTGCTCTACTCTGAGATTCAAATGTCACGCTTCTAAAATGAGGAAGCCGCAAATCTCTTCGGTCCTTTCTAGTGACTGTTCTCTGTAAAGGGGACACTTAGGAAAGTTTAATCTGTGCTCATTTTAAGTATTAAGGGGCTGCAGTGCAGTCGACACACGTAGACGAAGAAACGAGGTTAATAAGGTTTACCTTTGAGAGTGCGCATTACTAGTCAGAGGCCGGGTATGCAGAGCTGTCTGAGGGATGGGATGGGGCTTCCAGGCCAGCAAGACTACAGGAGTCGCCAGGTTCAATGTGTTAACATGTCTAAAGAAAAAAAAAGTGCTTCAGTTAGGGGAGGGCGGGGTATTCTCTAATCTTGGAGAGAAGGACAGGCCAGACTCAAAAGCTGGCTGGACCCTTTTACATGTGGCCTAGAAGGGCCTTCCCCCTCAGGGCTTGCCTCGCAGTGGAGAGAATGGCCTCAGTGCAAGATGGACATTATGGCTGACAAGCTCTGAGTATTTTTAGAAGAACGTAGGACAATGGTGGAGTCCAGACTCTTCAAAGCTGGCTTCAAACCTGACTGCCATTTACTAGCTCCATGACTAGTACTACAAGAAACAAGTTGTTAAACAAGGATCTCCACTTTCCCACCTGCAAAATGAGAGTGATGATAATAGTAAATATCCCCCCAAATTTCTCGGAGCATTAAGTTCATATGAGTAAAGCATTTAGAATAGGGGCTGCTATTATAATTACACTGGCAAAGCCATCTCTGGCTATCACCCATGCCTCCGTCCTAATGACATGAAATATTTGTTTCCTTTCCTTCTGATGCCACTTTCAACAAGCAACCTACCCCTTCCCACGTAGGTTTGCTTACATAGAAAAACCATGTTTATCACAGAGATTCTGAGAAATCCCCGCTGCACAGCCTGTGATATCTTATGCCAGACTGATAAATTATTTCAAATTATTTACTTGCCCATGGAGGCCAAAGATGAAGATGCAGGATTTTGCATCTGTCTAGGGGCAGATCTGTTTTGATTTCTAAATCATCACACAGGCATTCTGGTGCCTATCTCCGGCTTAGTGTGTTGGGTTAGAACGCGGATGCTCAGGCTCTGGTCTCCCTGAAGAATGACATGCCTGAGTCCTCAGTCGCTAAAACGGAGGAAAGTCTCAGCTGTTTTTCCCACCGAATAGCGGTATCACCTGTATGGGCTCCCTATCTGATCCCGTGCACAGCGGCTGCCGTCCCTGTTGTGAGCACCTTCACGTGAAAGAATAAAGAGCTTTTGGAAAAGTGGTGGGTTAAAAATATAGAAAAGAAGGATGCTGCAAGCAGAAGCATTAAACCACAGGTTTCCACTGACCTGTCTGCAGTGATTTTTCCTCCTCTTCCTCAAAAAAAAAAAAAAAAAAAAGTTCAAATATTTTCATTTCATTCTGCGACCCCGCCTGGAACACCAGCCACCCTTTAGGGATTTGTCTGTTTTTAAACATTCTCAATTAAAAGTGAGTCATTCAAGAAGGGTTAGAGAACTTTCAATGATGATACACATCAGCAGAAATGTGTTCAATATTTCTTCCCTCCTGACACCTTGCTGGATTAGGTTTACCTTTAGGAATTCACAAATTTGTGAATTGTTTTTTGGAGAGAGGAGAGATAAGGTGGAAAGGGAGGTAAAGGAGAACACAAAATGCTTGGAGAGGTCCCTGAGACCTGCTTAGGTGGGGGGCGGGGAGAGAACTCGAGAGGCTCAAGGACCGGTAGGCCTCTGGGAGGTTGAGCTATGACATAGGGTATGTTGGCATTTCCGGACTGACCTCAGAAGGTAACCAACAAGGATAAAATATCGTTTCCCTAGAAAAATGCTGAGCTCCAAAGAAGCAACTTGTAAAGGAAATTTTGAGATACAATCCATTGCCACTGAGTTCTCAAATGATGACTTCCTAGCGTAAATCTTGGAAAGAAAGCCCCAGGGACTATTTGAGAAAAAAAGACAGGTGAGAAGAACAGAGCCTATAATGTGTCAGAGCTGGAAGAACGCTTGTCTCTGGGGGCTGGGGCAGACAGGGACCTGCTGAAACCCTCACCAGCAGAGACGCCTTTCCAGAGACCTGACAGAAAGATATCCTGCAGTTAGAGAGGAAGTTTGGGACACTTGGGTTATGCTGACGTTCCATTCTCGGTTCTTGGGACAGCCTTCCCTCTCCACGCTCAGGGAAGTCTGGGCCTCCGTCTGAGTCTACCTGAGAGTCCATGTGGTGAGGAGTGACAGGTAAGAGCTCAGCAGGAGACGCCAAGCCTCGGCTTGAGGAAGCCAGAATGAGGAGACCTGGATCTAGAAACAAGTAGGGGTTAGGACCGAGGGAACAATGAAACGGAGGCTGTGACAGGGAAAGGGGGCTCAGGCGCATCCAGTGAGGGGACCAAGGCGAGACACTCAGACCCAGCAAAGGTGCAGCGCGGGAGCCCGCGAGGAAGGCAGAGTCGAGAGAGGAGAGGGCTAGGGCGGTGCGGAGAGAAGGCGCCGGGGAAGCTGTCCCCGCGGCGACGTGCGCCGGGGGAGGGAGGGGGAAGGTCTGAGCCCGCGGGCGGCGTGTGGCCGCCGAGGCAGCGGCGGCTGGAGCAG